GTAAATTATTCGTTAGCTCAACGCTATCTCACGACCAATTCGTACGAATTCGACGAACGATTAAAAAGTGTCTAACTCGTACTGATTCGTACGACCTTACTCGTACGAATTTGTACGATTTGTCTAAACCCACGTGATGGTTAGGTTTAGGGGCGGGGTAAGGGGTAGGTCATTCGTATGAATTCATACGAGTTGGCCAATTAGTAAAATATGTACGATTTAGCAAAATCGTACTAATTCGTACGAGTGAGGTCGTATGAATTGTTACGATTTAGCCACTTTTTAATCATTCGTCGAATTCGCACGGCTTGGTCGTGAGATCGGGTTGGTTAGCTTGTGGCACAGTGACCTATTTTTAACTAAAAATAAATAATGTGTACTCATAACCAGTGTAATATCTCTGTGTGGGCGGATCTGACAGCCGCGACATCGCAGAAATAGGAACCGTTTCTAAATTAGAAACTTCGCGTGTCGCCGTCGCGTCTGTTTAGGACAAAATCTCTGATTAACATGGAAAAGATACCTTTTATCGCGTGTCGTGGCGTCGAGTCGTGTATAGTTAGGACATGGTGTTAGACACAAGATAAAACAAATTATTCATCAAATGCAGTACAGGGCTGACATCAAAACCCGGTCAACTAATTCACCATTGGTTCCCCTGAGATTTTACGGTGGGGTTTTTCAATTTCTAAATAAAATAAGGTGTGGTAAACATGTTTTGTTCTACAACTTAAATTACACACACCCATATAGAAAAAACACGAATTTTGAAGCTGTTACATTATAACAAATAAAGATAAATAAAAAAATAAAGCAATGTTTTAAAAACACCACAGGGTTTTTTTATTTACTTTTTGGAGACTTCAAAATGGCTTACTTATAGTCCGACCTGATCTTACGAGAAAACATAACTATTTTATACTTTGGCGAATTGATGGTGAAAATTCGTAGAAGAATTCATATTTGAGTAGTACAAAAACAGACGATATTTAGAAGTAACTCTCAACCAAATTGTAAACGGAAAATACTTTTGAATTACCAAGAGGGTGTGTTGTATAGTCTTACTATTTTAAACAAGATTAAGAGAGCTTTCAAAATGCTTAATCTTAAAGAGTTAAATGTGATATTTAATAAAAAAATGTCTTTAATTGTCAAATTATTAGTATTTTATGTAAGAGACAGTCAGACTGACAGCAAGTTTGCTAAAACAAACAGTGCAGCCTCAGTGATGTCAACAGAAAAGGAAAGTTGTTTCAGAAAAATCACATTTTGATTCAAAAATTACAACGACAAGCTATCAGCAATGAATTATTCACAGTAAGACAAGGAATGCACAATAAAACTAGATTCATATTGACTTAAACACACATTACCTTTAAAATCATTAACTATTCAATCACATGCACACACCCTAAAATAAAAGGCTCAACCCCTAAATGGATTTTCATAGTTAAAACCAAAGAGTTTATCAATGGGCATAAAATGTCCGTTCAAATGCATAGATATTCAATTAAAAAGCAGAACAAAGGGAATAAATCACAGAGGCTCAGTGAAAAGCCGCCATGTTGATCTATTAGGGAGAACCCTGCTGTGAGCAGAGCTCTAAAATATTAAACAGTCTGCAGACATCCATGCACTTCCTCACTTCAGCAACATTTTCTTCTACAGCTGACTATTATTGCACATATATGTTTTATTTATTTTAAATTGCATTTGTTGGCCATAGAAAGCTGCTCACTGACAAGGAAACTGAGCTTTTGTGATGCTTAACGAGACGTATTTGTGCTTTGGATTTGTGTTGATGTCGACTCTGACACCTCATGGAGATAAACAGATATAAAACAAAAGTCAGAGATTAATCCTCGTGCTTTCAGGACGCTGGTTCAAACAAGTGAGGAAGAGGGGGAGAAAAAAAAGCTTTTTTTGCAGTAAAGCATGGTTTTCAGTGAAAAACAGCCCCCAGCTTTTTTTTTGCTTCCTCTTGAGATTTACCGTCCAGAAAAAGCTTCTCTCGCAAACATAAAACACAAGCCAACTGTAGGACTGCAAAATTGGCATTACATTAACTGCCAACGCTAGATTGAAAAAAACAGAAGTCTTTTAAGAGTTCCACTCTTAGTTTGCACATGCTCATATTCAATTCCGTCCATTTAGATTAGTTACAAATTATTAAAAACATGAGCATTAGATAAAAGTTATGGTGAAAATAAGTGAGAAGTCCCAGTTTAGGTAGACAGTAACGGTGCCAATTGTTCGTACGGTTACTTATTTTTATAAATATATATATATGAAGAGTTCAGATGCAAAAGCCTCTAAATGCCATTTGAAATTTTCTTCTTTAATGATAATTTTTATCAAACTTGTATATTTAAGTTCAGTAATTTCACTTAAATAACAATTAATAGGTAACTATCATTGCCATTTAAGTGAAATCACTGAACTTAAATATACAAGCTTGATAAAAATGATCATTCTAGAAGAAAATTTCAAATGGCACTTAGAGGCTTTTGCATCTGAACTCTTCATATATATATATATATATATATATAAGGTAAGCATGGTAAAAGCTACATTTCACAACTTTGCTTTATATTTGGATCACTGAAAGAGAGAATTTAGATTAAATACTACTGAAGGGGTACATTGATCTGAGAAGTGTTTATATTAAACATATATATGGATTTAAACATAGTCCAATGTTGAAACTAAGTTTAGACTACAAAATATAATTAAAAAGCAAGGTGTTTTCTTTCTTTTTAGAAATGAAAGACATTCCATTTGGGAATTTTGTGCTATTTTGAAAAGTCTGAGTATTCGCCATCTCTTCTGCTTTAAAGGGATAGCTCACTTTGAAATTAATTTTTGATATGTTTTAGCTTACCTCAAAGGCATCCAAGATGTAGGTGTCTTTGTTTCCGCAGTATTTTCAACTATGATATTTTTAGGTCAGTCATATAATGGAGGTCTATGGTCACCACCTCAAAGAACATACAGAGAAGTCCAAATTATAATTTGTGTGAGAAAACGAACAGTATTTATATCATTTTTACCTCATGTAAGCACAGCCACGTCCAAGTGATCTGAGGGCGCGAGTGCTTTGGTCTGTGCAAGGGCCGGAAGTGATCTCTCGCACATGTACGTCACTTATTGTTTACACAGAGATTTCGTAAGCTTTATCTTTCGTGAAGATCTAAACATATTTAGACATACAGGAAATCGCAATGGAAGACGATTTCAATATTTCAACAGACAACGTTGAATTTTTTTCGCAACCACGCGAGAGATTACTTCCGACGCTTTCCGCGCTTGCACAGACCGAAGCGCCCGCACCCTCAGATCACTTGGACGTGACTGTGGTTACAAGAGGTAAAAACGAAATAAATACTGTTCGTTTTCTCACACAAACCGCTCGTTTCGTGTCTTAGGCCATCAATGTGTACTTACATTTACGAGTCATTAAATCATGTTTAATTTGGACTTCCCTGTGCATGCTCTTTGAGGTGGTGACCATAGACCTGCATTGACAGACAAGAACGGTTTGACCTAAAAATATCAAAATTGAAACATTGTGGATGCCCTTAAGGTAAGTTAAAACATAGAAAAAATGAATTTCAAAGTGAACTATCCCTTTAAACTCATTTCTGGCAGTGGAACATCTTACACTAAGATTCAAAAATGGGTCCAGATTTGATGTAGCGCTTCTGCTAACTCAAAGCAGTTTCCAAGATTTTGTTTTCAGCCTGCACTCCCTCGCCGAGAGGTGCCTCTAATAAGTCATATTTTTATAACATGTTTTCTGCCTTTGATCACCAGAATTGGAAATCCATGGAGGAGTAGTTTGAAAGCCACAGAAGACAGCTAAAAATCCAAAGAAATCTAGGAGGGGGAGTTTTTTTTTTAGATATGCCAGCATGAATACGTTCACCAGCAGTTATATGTAGCAGTATTATTTACAACATAACTAGCTTCATCATGAGCTTTTTGTATCAGAGAAAAGCTATAATGGTGATTCTGGTGCCCGTGAGACATTCAGAGGATATAAATAATGCATATCTTTTTATCCATTACAAGGAGATCCCCCTCCCTATTCAGTACACAACTACCGCACACACAATTTATAAATACACACTAACTTGCATTCGCCCATACATTTCTGAGCACACACACACACACACACAAGGTGGAGTGCGCTGAAAGTGATGCATCAAAACATCAATTTTATATAGTTTAATCAGTTCACACGCTTGCATCACTGCACATCTCATTTTCATGAACTTAATGATGCTTTTCATGTCAAAAAGAGAAGAGCAGCATATCTCTCTTTTCTGCGAGGATCAGTAATCTGAAAAAGCAAGTTTTGTAATGCTTCCAGCACAACTTCTCTCCACGATTGATGACCGCTCTACTTTCCGAAAGTGGCGACGAATGCGCACTTTATCATATTAAATGATTGCATCACTTAGTCTCTGCGGGAGAAATATTTTCACTGTGTATTGATTACGTAACTGCTTCCAAAATGTACTAGGCAGCAACCAGACTCTTATTGATTCATTCTATAAATGGAAGCATCCCGTAAACGCTTCAATCTCTTCGGCTACAGTTGAATTTCTGTAAAAAAAAAATATTGTTGGTTTAACTTAAAAAAATAAGTAACCTGGTTGCCTTAAAATGTTAAGTTCATTGAAATGGAAAAATTTAGTTAATGCAATGAAGGAGATTAATTTAATCACCAGAAACTCAAAATATTTTGTTATCTGAACTACATAAATTAAGTTGATTTGACAAAAGAAAAAATGTTTTGATTACAAATTATGCATTTTTTTTTACAGAGCTTCAAACATGGTTCTTCCCTTTTAATATTTCATAAACTTTTACTCTGCAGAGTCCACCACTGCAATCTCTAGTATAGACTTTCATGGCAAAACAAAACAGAAAAAGACATTTGATACACTATATCACTATATTACACAACACACAAAGAAACAAATCAACTTTCTTACCGTTGAATTATGCTGACTACGTCAAAATAGTCCCTCTATTAAAACAATTTCAAATCCCCCAAAAAGCTGTGTATCCGGTAATGATGGCCTGTGTTCAAACATAAGAGAGAGGGATCATCCAGACAGCCAGCAGAGATGCTGAACAGGAAGATTAGGATGCGAGCGCTCTCACACACACACTCTCCTTCCCTCCTCCCGATCCGTTCATTATAGGAGGAGCTCCCAGAACACGCCCAAGCAACTCACAATGGTAGAGTGAGTCCATCCCTACCTCTGCTCCTCGCTCACTCCCACATGTGCCAGAGCTAGCGTGAGGGAGCAGCGACTGTTTGTGATAGAGAGAGAGAGCGAGAGATGGAGAGATATTGCAGAGAAAACATGAATGCACATCAGGGAGGATCTATCTATCTATCTATCTATCTATCTATCTATCTATCTATCTATCTATCTATCTATCTATCTATCTATCTATCTATCTATCTATCTATCTATCTATCTATCTATCTATCTATCTATCTATCTATCTATCTATCTATCTATCTATCTATCTATCTATCTATCTATCTATCTATCTATCTATCTATCTATCAAGGAAATGCCTCAATATTCTTCACACATTGTTTACCATCTGCAGTGCTCTCACCTGGCAAGGTGTGTGTGTGTGTGTGCCAAAGTGCTTCAGGGTTTGCCATATGGAAGTGCTACATAGATTGTACTTAATAACAAAGAACTGCCTAAAGCCTGATGAAAAAACCTCCCACAACTCACATGTGAATAAAGCCGACGTCGGAAACACTGTTGTTGTTTCACCAACTCGAGGCTTTCTGCTTGACCTGACTTGATCTGGATTTATTTAGTTACGCATTTAAAAATTATTTATTATGGTTCATTGGTGTTGACAGACACATGTGACTTAATTTAAAAAAATATGTTACATTCTGATTTTTCTTGTGTTCCCTGCATGAATTGTGTTGGCAATGGAGGATGTTTTATTATTTTGAAAGAAGTCTCATATGCTCACCAAGGCCGCATTCATTTGATCAAAATTACAGTGGAAAATAGTGTAAAATATTTTATACATTTAAATGTACTGTTTTCTATTTTAATATACACTGTAAAAATATGCTTTAATCCAAAAAAATTGTGGCAAAAGATTACAAGCAATATTATTAATTAAATTTAACAAATTAGAATTGAGTAATAATTAATCAAATTAATTCCTTAAAATTAAACCATTTAAAAAAAAACATGAATTGAAGTCACCATTATGGTGATCGGCGTTTGTTTTCTCCTTCAGTGATTCGGCTTGTTAACATCAGGTGTCTTTAATGTTGGCAATATCAAATAAAGATTTCTTAATTAATCTTTGACGTCTTTCTGTTAGTGAGATTTCTTTTTGGTGTAAACTTTACTCATTTCAAATGGTTAGCTTTTAAGGAATAATTTGATTGATTATTACTCAATTCTAATTTTTTTTCATTTAATTAATAATATTGCCTGTAATCTGTTTCCACAATTCTATTGATTAGATAAAGCATATTCATTTTTACAGTGTAGGTGAACTAAAACTTATATTTGCATCACATGGCTAAAGGAATAAATTACATTAAAATAGATATATTCTGTAATTCAATATATTTTATATAATTAAAATATAGTAGGTATTTAACTAACATAAATACCAACATTTAACTTAATATTATTTTGTAAAAAAAAAAAAAAAAAAAAAAAAAAAAAGAAGACTAATAAGGAAACATTTTTTGGAAATGGTTCATTTAAATGAATAGTTCAAAATAAACCTGCATAGTGCAAAGCAATATGACAATTAAATGCAACATATTTACATTTATTGGAAATATGAGCTGAAATATGACAAAAACAGTATATCTTGCAGCTTATTGGAAAAAATTGCTTGTTGTTACTAAAAAAAGCTACACTATTTAAAACAGCGACTGTAAGAAAACAGAAAAACGCAGAAAAACATGAGAAGTGTTGCTAATGTTAGTTAGTTACTCTCAAACACTGCCTCAACATCAGAATAACTTGTTAGCACGAAATGAGAAAAGAATAGAGCAATAGATATTTTTGAATAAGGCTCATATGGATAAACAACCATGTTCTACTCCTGTATTTCTGCTCAGGCCTACTACATAATAGATGCTGATGATTCATGCAGGATTTATATGGTGCAGGATGGGAGACTTTCTTCCTGATCTAATATGGAGCTCCAGCAAGTGCAGTGTGATTTCCCCCTGCCCAGCCCTCTGGTCCCGCCCCAGTCGGCAGACCCAGTTGGTTTGACCTGCTGGGTCGTCATTATAAAGAGTGGATGTCCCACACAGGAAAGGGAAAATCTCACTAATCCCACACAACATAATTCTGCTTGCAAGAGGATTAGGGTCAAGCGTTGGGCAGAGACCAAGACCAGATTTAAATCATACACCCTTGCCCACTCCTGATCTGCCATCATCATCATCATCATCATCATCATCATCATCATTGTCCTTTACCCTGAAATTAATCAAAACAAGGACCTTTTGCGAGTGGCAAAACAAGCCTAGGCTGTCAGGTCAATCGTGTGATTGTTAAAACATATTTCTAAGCTAAAGCCTGTTTCTGCTTGGGTGGAAATGAACTGTTTCTCCATCCATGTGAGGAAGACAGGAACCTCGCAGGATGAGATACCTCTTGAGACATCTTTGGCAAGATGAGACATTTCTACAGTCTTCACTTTAAATGAAAGACAAACGCATTTCTAAAGTCAAACTTCTAGGGCTGTCAAATGATTAATCACGATTAATCAAAATGAAAGTTTGTGTTTACATAATATATGTGAGTGCACTGTGTATAATTATTTTGTATATACTGTATAGAAATACACACACATGCTTGTATATATTTAAAAAAATATTTATAGATTTATGTATAATTTATATTATATGTAAATATATTTTTTCTTATATACATGCATGTTTGTGTATTTTTATATATACAAAATAATTATACACAGTGCACCCACATATATTATGCAAACACAAACTTTAATTTTTGATGCGATTAATCACAATTAATCGTTTGACAGCCCAAATATCAGAAATTGCAGAAATAAGGTTCCAATTGTTAACCTTATACCTTAGTTCAAATGACCTAACAATGAAAAGTACATCAATCACTTATTAATCTTGACATTTTCAAATACATCATTAAAATAAAAAGTATTTGTCAATGCTATTTATAAGACCTTATCTACCATGAACTAACAATAAACAGTTGTACTTTAACGTTAACAAAGATGAATAAATACTGTAACTTGCACAATGTTAGTTAATGCATTATGTTAACTAAAGGGACCATATAAAACATGGCCTATAACAATTTAAAATGGTATTGAATTGAGACATCACAACATTAATAAAATAGATATTCATTTTGAGATTAGCTGTTGCGATAGCAGGGTAACACTTTAGAACACATATTCAATGTTAAACAGGAGTTTTCCCTCAATAAACTCCTAATTACTGCTTACTAATAGTCAGTAAGATATTGCTGTAGTGGTTATGTTTAGGTATGGGGAAGGATTAAGGGATATAGAATATGGCCATGCAGAATAAGGCATTAATATGTACTTTATAAGTACTAATAAAAAGCCAATATGCTAGTAATATTCATGCTAACAAGCAACGCTCTCAGAAAAAAAAGGTACAAAAGCTGTCACGGACTGTACCTTTTCAAAATGTACACTTTTGTATCCAAAGGCTGCATATTGGTACCTTGGTATATTAGTACCTGAAATGTACATATTAACACCTAAAATGTACATATCAACACTTAAAATGTACATATTACCACCTAAAATGTACATATCAACACTTAAAATGTACATATTAGCAACTAAAATGTACACATTAGCATCCAAAATGTACAAATTAGCACCTGAAATGTACATATTAGCACCCAAAATGTACAAATTAGCAGCTAAAATGTACAAATTAGCACCTGAAATATTAGTACCTAAAATGGACAAAAGTTTACCTTTTGAAAAGGTACAGCCCCAGTGACAGCTTTGTACCTTTTTTTCTGAGGGTGTAATCATAACATTTTTTCTTTTGTCAAATCAACTTAAATAATTTATTTAGTTCAGATAACATATAATTTTGAGTTTCTGATGGTTAAATCAATCGCCTTCATTGTATTAACTCACTTTTTCCAGTTCAATGAACTTAAAATTTTAAGGCAACCAGGTTACTTACTTTTTAAAGTTTTTTTTACAATGTATAGACAATAATGGAGGTTACAGCTAGTTTTTTAGTAGTTAATAGTAAATAGTGTTCCCCAATCTAACTGTTTATTGTTAATCTAAAATGTCACCAATAGCAGCTATATTATTAAATTATTCAAGTTTTTAAAGATTAACTTATAAGTAAATGTTAGCTGATGGAAAAAGTAATATAATTTAAATGTAAAATGAGGAAAAATGAGCAATATTAAATAATAAATTAATATTACCAGATAAGCAATGTGGTACCAATATATTGTGCATCCCTAAATGTGCTAACTGGTGCTTAACGTACAAGAAAAATGTTCACATATAAGCATAATGACTCAGTAAAAACCCAATATTCATTCAAAGACCTAAAGTAAAGCCAGATTTTCACTGCAGCAATACAGAATTGTTATACTTGATGCAAACATTTAATCTTTGAGACAGCTAGAGAAAACACTGTATAATGCAGACTCATTGTGATTATATTTCTGCTTAAGTACTCTTCTGGCTTCTGGCTCAAAAACAACGTTCCTTGTCCATCACTTAGGAATGATGGGCCGGGGATTGACCGAATGCAATATATATTGCAAAGCACTAGCTTGCATTTAACTTGAATGCAAATACAAATCAGTCTACGGCACTCTATTGTATCAATAAAAGTGAAACCTGAGATGCTGAATGCTGATCACAACTTCCATATGCCTTGGAAAACCAGTGATTGGCTGTTGTTGGTATCAACCTCTCCGAGTAAAAACTGGGCTGCTGGGATTTGTAGTTGGTATTTGGTAGCTCAAGTGTGGATGGACGTTTGGTAACTCTTGTCAACAGATAAGTAGATTGTAGACAAGCCTTTACATTAATCAAACTGCGCCAGTCGTCAGTAAGTTCTGGAACAGATCATCATTAAAGTCTAAAAAAGACTAGAGAAAGACTCCCAGTGCACCATGAGGTATAAATTAGAATGGGACTAGCAGTAAATGCTTTGTCGAAGCTCTCATCTGCTCTGGAGGATCCGCCAATAAAACCAGCAATAAAAACTAGTGATCTACTGCACGAGTGAGAACATGGTGCTGAGATTCACTGCAGTGTGGGACCTTGGAGCATTTAGTCATTCCACTTTCTTAATAGATTATTTCAATATGATTTCAAACACATAAGTGGAGTAGATTACTTGCTTGTAGTTGGGTTTTCATCTATTTCATTTATTTTTTATATGAATTTTGTGATGCGACAAAAAAAAAATGCAGGATGGAAACAAAATGTTAAAATTCAAAAATGAAAATAAATTATTTATAATTGCTTGAAGTTGATTTTTTGGTAACACTTTACAATACGGGTGCACCAATAAGCAACTAATGCACAGATAATACTGAATTAATGTGTAACTAATGATTATCTAAGCTATTCATTAATGATTACCACATTAGGAACTAATTAAGAGTCTGTAAGGTTAATGTATTAGTTCAAACATTAATTGTTTTTAATTAAATATGTAATTGTGGATTAATTCCACAATAACTCATTTTTTTAACTAATAGTCTTAATTAATATAATAATTCCCAGAAGGAGCCAAAGCCTTGTATTTCAACTTCCAGATATGACAGGTACACTAATATGCATTAATACATGATTAATTACTTCATTGTTAGTGCAAATTCATGTGCAAATTACTAAATGACTAGTTAATAATGATGTGCCCCAACAAGTAAAGTCATAACATAGTGATACCTTTGCAAATCATTAGCTAATGAATAATTAAAGCAGACAACTGGAAGTTGAAGTGCATAGCTTTGACTAGTTGTGGTAATTAACACATTAATTTATAATATTAGTTAATAAAATATGTTATTAAGGAATTAATACACAATGACACATTGAATTAATATCAATTCATGTATTACTTAATCTATTAATCATATAGACTCTTTATTAGTTGCTGATGCAGTAATCATTAATTAATGGTTTATTTCTTCATTTGTTATACATTAACTCACGATTATCTGTGCTTTAGTTAAAGCATGAATTAATGCATATTAGTGCACCCGTGTTGTAAAGTGTTACCAAAATCTCATGTCAACAAGTTATGTGACTGAATAATAACAATAAAGAAAATGATGGTGGTCTTTTCATTCCATGTCTTTCCTCAAAATTCTGCAGACAATTACTTCCTAGAACTGACACATTTTACTGATGTCTCCAAGAAATCAAAATTGGTGTTTTGCAGCTTTAATCCAGGACTGTCAGCTTTGAGGTAATTTATATGCTACTGTACACCAAACAGTTGACCAAACTAGCTCATATGCAAATATGTGACATTTACAGTATTTCCCTGTACAGGGAAAATAAAATCAAATCAAAATAAAACATGACTTACACAATGTTTCAAAATTCAACGTTTCTCTAACCATTTCATAAGGCGTGACATGAAATCTTATTTTTGAAAAATACTTTCACTTACCACTATTAGTATCAGCAAGCCTCTTACCCTTTAAATGAAGAATTTGTCAAACACAAATAGTACCTGGCAACCCACAGAGAGGCCAGGTGCACCCGGTCTGCATGTGGGGGTGGATTATCTTTTCAAACAACTGAATAGAGGCACGACTGCTGAATAAACAAACCACAGAGGTTGATGTCTCGGCCGCCTTTGCTCTCTTGAAGCAAGCGGCAGATAACCATGTCGCTCTGGACGCCCAATTATCATGTACTTGAGCGTGCTTACACCATAGAGAGATAAAATACTTGTTTATCCAGTAGAATAAAATTCACTCTTTCTTGCTATTATGCTATTTTAAATCTCCTACAATAGGCTTACATGCATCCAAGGTCAAAAAATACTTTAATGATATGATATACATTGCAGAATCATCTCTTTTCTCACAGTGCCTGAAACGTTTCAATAAAGGAATCGTTCTCTCTAAACACTTTTTTATGGGAGCCGCCACAAAATCATTTTACTCAACTCAACTTTATTTAAAAAGAAATTTCAACACCAAGTGGAACTTTTCAAGTGGAACCAAAGTGCTTTCTCATGGGAATAAAGGGAAAATAAAAATATAAAGGTAAAATAAAGTTGGTCCCAGTATAGAGCCCTGTGGAACCCCACACACAAGTGGGGCAATGGAAGAAAATAAATCCCCTAAACTGGCAAAAAAAAAAAAAAAAAAAAAATCCTATCCTTCAAATAGGAAGAGAACCATTTTCAGGGCTAAGCCCTGAATACCAACCGGATCCCCAAGACGATCAATGAGAATGTTATGATCACCTGTATCAAATGCCGCTGTACGATCTAATAAAAGCAAAACAACATGGTTTCCAGAATCAAGACCTCGTAGAATTTCATTAGAGACCATCAAAAGAGCAGATTCTGTACTTTGACCAGCTCTAAAGCCTGACTGGAATCTAACGGAAATCGAAATCGAAAAAAAAAAAAAAAGATTTATATAATTCCACAATTTTAAAAGATATTTGTAACATTTTCCCTCAGAATTGTGAGATATAAATTTGCAATTGCATGTTATCAAGTCAGAATTGTGAGATATAAAATCGCAATTGGATTGCGTGATAAAATTGCTATTGGTTTGACTTTGTCACACAATTCTGAGATAAAAAGTCAGAATTTCTTGATGTAAACTCGCAATTGCAAGATAAAACGTCACGATTTACTCGCAATTACCTCATTTATTTTTTATTTTGTGGTGAAAGTTTCCATATCTCGTTTCAAAGAGCCTCTGCTCTGATTGGTCAGATGGCCTAGTTTGTTGTGATTGGTCTACCACTTACAGTCCCTGTTGGAAACGAAACGCTCATTACCATATCTGAATTTCAGCTCCGGAGGCTTCCTCAGCACTCGTACACAGTGATATGAACAGTAACAATGGCGTCGGTTTTAACCAAATCAATTTGGGCCCGAATCCTCATCCTTTGGAAGTGGATTTGCATTCGCAGCACAGAAAAGGGCGTCTTCTCGTCATGTCAACAACAAATCTCCCAACAAACTCTTCCAAGCCACAGCTACAACTAAGGGTCTTTCTAAGGGCAGCCAATGAAGACCATATCGGTTGTCATTATGCACATTTGTTACAAACCTGATCAGAAAGTAAGACTGGAATTACTAACGACTCGTTTCAGGCAATTCAGAATTGATTCTTTCTTTTAGGTACTTTGATCTTTGAAACTTTGCAGACCTTTTCCATTCACAAACAGCTATATTACACACTGCATGATAGATAATCCAAAGAGGGGGCACTTTAAAATCTATTTCCATGAATGCTTCTTATAGTCAAAACATCATCCCTCTACACACCCACATGCCTCTTATTCACAATAGAGTCATTATGTTTACCATCTCTCATGGGCACAAGTGCTTTGTCTAAAACTCTATTAGTTGTGCATTGTTGTGGCTAATGGATTCTGCTGGGCTATATGAATTTTGTTCACATCCACTAGTGAGTAGCTCAAAACATCAGTCTTGGTAATTATATACAACACTTTGTGAAATTAACCTGCTCAAGTCTGGTAAATTCAACTAATGAGAGGTATGACATTTAGAAAACTCTGAAGTCTTGTATCTTTTCTACATTTAGTGTCGCAGTTGGAGACCCCAGCAGAAAGGTCAAGCCTCATCTCTTTGAGCGATTGCCTTTCTGAGTGACTGTGACTCAGATTGGAAAAGTGTTGATGATGTATGGAACAGATCCGAGCTTACCTGGCCGATGTCTGGAGGTCGCACACATCACACCGGCTCATTAATCAGATTTGAATAGTCTTCTTTTATCTGCCTTCCAATGGCCTTATACAATGATACATCTCACACAGAGGCAAAAACAATGTCAGTGCAATACATTACCAAACACAAGAAGTTTATATAGGCTAGTCATATAGACATTTTAAAGGTGCAGTAAGCATTTTCTGAAAAACAATGATGATATTTCAAATCAACCGAAACAAATTGCTCTCTTTATTGCTCCAATCCCAAAAAGCACAAATTGTGGAGGCAAAGAGAAAAAATGCTTTGTGAAAAACTTAGACGAACAAGGAAGAACAAGAAATGAACATACAGTACACAAGAGTATTCTTTAATAAATATAGTTGAAATATTCCACAGTCATGCACAGTTTGTTTTTCTTTGGTTATTTGAATCTCTTTGCTCTAGTAATTTGCTCTGGCAACTTATAAAATGTAAAAAAAATAAAAAACCTTAAAAAAATTGTACCTGTTGCTGATATCTTTTTCATGCAAGGTATTCCTTTTGTTTTGTATTGAGGGGTTCTGGTTCAAGAGAATGATGCAGAAAGAGGGGGAGAGAGTGAGAGTTCCTTGATGCAGTCTGTGCAAGGACTGAATGCTAATCAGACAGGCCTTTCCCCATGCTTAGCTTACAGCAGTGCACATACATCTTGTCAGCCCCTGCAATGATACACACATCCAGCCACACACATGCACTACAGGTCCAAGGATAGCATTAATAAATCAAGCCTGGTTACTTTTGCTTTACTCGTGGAGTAAAAACACTAAAAAAGAGACACAAAGCCTACATATTAGCATTTTATAGACAAATAAGTGCATGATGACTCCCCCTGGGGATCAGATTGATCGTCTGTCATCGCCATTGCAGCAGCAGTTCTGGAGACAGATGTTTTAAATGATCATTTAAAGGGTAAATCACACTTGCCTGAGTAAAATCATTTCTGAACGGCGATGGCGTAGGCTGCCGCTAACTGCTAAATAATTCAGCAATATTGATGGGATGTGACAGTAGCACAAGCTTTGCCTGGCATTTGTCATACAAAACCAGAGCACGTAACGAGAGATGGAGATTGTGATGCTCCATTGTAGTTTGTTTGCACACTTTTGTGTTTCAAATGAACTAAATGCTTGCGAAATAAATGAATAAACATTTGTCTTTAGAGAAAATGCCTATTTAGCTAGGCTATAGCCTATATTATATATATTTTCTTAAAGAGCAGTCTTTCCTACAAAAAAAGTACCATGGTGATAATGTCGCTTTGAAAAGACACACAAATTATTAAATAAGTAATTAAATAAATAAAATACATTCATTATTATTATAATCGTATATCATACATAAATCAATAATCTAATAATTTTCTAACTAATTTTCTAAAATTACGGTGTGTGAGTGTGATGCATGGGCTGGAAAGTTTTGTATCGTAAAGGTAAAACTGTGCAAATTTACGGAGATTGATGAGAATTGCTCATTTTGTATGAATCAACCAGAAAACAACTCTACATCTTTTTTTTGAATGTCATCATTCTAAAAAATTTTGGGAAAATCTATCTATATATTTTCAACGGAAATCAGGTCATAATTGTGTATTAACACCCAAAGATGTAATATATTTTGAGTCAAAAACTACGTCTGTGAATTTTATGATTACACTCTAAAAAATGCTGGGTTGTTTTAACCCAACTTTGGGTCAAATATGGACTAACCCAGCCGTTGGGTTAAATTTTTACATTACATTTTTAACCCAACATTTCGGGTTTGTCCATATTTGACCCAAAATTGGGTTAAAACAACCCAGCATTTTTTAGAGTGTAATCTTATGATTTTATTAGGCAAATTTCACATTCATAAAAGTAAATTTAATAATTCTAAGCCTTGTTTAAAGGTTTTTTTGGCTGATTTTATGTTGTATATTGAATCTCTTAAATGTATAGATAATAAGAAATGCTCTGACACACTCTAAAAAATGTTGGGTTGTTTTAACCCAACTTTGGGTCAAATATGGACTAACCCAGCCGTTGGGTTAAATTTTTACATTACATTTTTAACCCAACATTTCGGGTTTGTCCATATTTGACCCAACATTGGGTTAAAACGACCCAGCATTTTTTAGAGTGCACAATTGTATTTGCTAAAGAATTGAAAATAATTGAACAGTGAAGAATTATATGTTTCTCTTCCTTCCTCAATACTGTCTTGGAGTGTAATTTCTCGTAGCTATTATATTTATAAATAGTTAAATTTAGCCCTTATATTTAATTTTTTTTTTTTTTAAATTTAGTCTCTTATTCATTTATGTTAAACTATTTTTGGAAAATCTTGGATTGTTGTCTTTTTGGATGTCATGTTATTGTTTGTTTGTTTGTATAATGTCTAAAAAAAAAAAAAAAAAAAAAAAAAAAAAGGTAAAACTGTGTATCATTCTGAGAACAATTGCGTCATCTACAGGTCAGATAGAGCATTACAGGAGTGCATAATTATTATTTGGGACAAACCTCCCAAACCTTATTAAAATAATGAATCCATGTGAGATCTGCGAAGTATATGAAGAACAGTGTTCAAAGCCATGAAAACTGCAACACTTGAGAAATATGAATAACATTACTTTTTTTTAACATTACTGCTTAGCCTTCATCAGCATAATTCTGAGACTGAGACAAAAACAAGCTGAGAAGTGTATTCACATTTTCTGCTAAATTTAGCAACTTTTTTCTCTATAACCATCTAAAGACTCGCTTTTGGGAAGAATCATTTTGTTCATCCATTCCACTAATTATTATGTGGGATTGTTGCACAGCAATAGTTTAGCAAATGTAAAAATTGTCAATACATTTACATGGCAACTCACCAAATAAATTAATATGTGGACATATATATTAATTTGTGTTGAAATATCTTTTCCAGCTAAGAGAAAAATAGTCCATTATCCTCCGGTATTACAGACAAGGCTATAGTTCCAGACTGAAATGCATGTTTGAGCTGTTTCAACTGAAAGCACTGATTATCTTAAAATATGTTGGTGCCATTGTTTTGTCTCAAGATACACACTCGTAATTTTATAAACATAAAGGCATGTTTATAAAAGCTACTTAAATGCCTTAATTGAACTACTGTGAGGCCTGTATTGTAATCCCTGTCTGTGAAACCTGCTCATATGTATAAAATCATACGTCCCGGTTTCAGTTACCCGAAATAATACAATCATACATAATGATGCATTATACAAATGATAAAAAAAAAAATATATAGCCCTTTTTTTTAAGCATCTTTACCAGAAGCTCACAAACATGTCATATTGTGAGCCCGTGGAGGGCAGCGAGTGTCTGAGATCAGTGTGTTCTGGAGCAGCCCAGCATGACAGGAACCAGAGCCAGTGTTCCTTGTGTTCTCTTATTTATTTAACCCCAAGACAGACCCCACATACAGAGATACAGACAGTAAGAGAAAGTAAGAAATACAATTTCAGCCTTGGTATGACCAAAATTAATCGTATCACAAACTGCACATACTGTATCTTGGGTTAAAATTCACCCTAATAATCCATGTTCGACCAGTCCTCCTACGTGGAAGCGGACACGCTAACAAGGACCCTAAAGAACTCAGACTCTAATGTTAGAAGCTAGCGCGCTTCTTGACATCAGGGGAGTGAGGTTTACATGCACATCTCTTACTGGCCTATGACAGTTACACACAAAACAGGACAGTTGGTCACCCTAGCTTTGGTCTGCGCAAGCGCTGGAAAGCACCGGCAGTGATCTCACACGCGTGTAGATACAGAACATCGCAATGGAAGACGATTTCAATATATCAACAGACAACGTTGATTTTTTTCGCAAACCGCGCGAGAAATCACATGCAGCGCTTTCCAGCTTTTGCGCAGACAAAGCGCTCGCGGCCTCAGATCACTTGGACATGGCTGTGGTCACACGAGGTAAAAACTATATATAAATACTGTTTGTTTTCTCACACAAATCGCTCGTTTCGTGTCTTAGGCCATCAATGTGTACTTACATTTATGAGTCATTAAATCATGTTTAATTTGGACTTCTCTGTGCATGCTCTTTGAGGTGGACCACATAGACCTGCAGACTGATAGACATGAACGGTTTAACCTAAAAATATCAAAATTGAAAATACTGTGGAAACAAAGACACCTACGTACATCTTGAATGCCGTTGAGGTAAGCTAAAACATACCAAAAATGTATTTCAAAGTGAACTATCCCTTTAATGCACATAATATGTCCTTGGTGAAAAAATAGACTGCATTTCACTAGCAGGAAAGTACATCAATTCCTGCCACAAAAAGAGGGAAGAGAAAGTACACACACACACACACACACACACACACACACACACACACACACACACACACACACACACACACACACACACACACACACACACACACACACACACACACACACACACACACACACAGACAGTCCAACTAAATGCTTTACAATTTATAACTTGTCATGCCAATAAAGCTCATTAGAATTGGAAATTTGAAAGGAGTCTCGATTCATTTAAAAGCCAAAGAAAGCACCACAGTCCTTGATAGACAGCAGACACGTGGTAGCAGTGAAACCAGAGAAGACTCTTGGGTCTTTTCTCCATCTTTCATCTCGGCTGCAGCACTGTGAGGAAGGAGAGGAAAAAAGTGTGAAAATAAAAGAGGGGAATTATTGGTACGACATAACTAAAACAACACACAAATTGGCATTACATGGTTTGTCATACAGAAAGCGTTTAGACTTATCTTAATTTAGGATAGTCAAATAATTCAGAAAGACAGGATAGATAGATAGATAGATAGATAGATAGATAGATAGATAGATAGATAGATAGATAGATAGATAGATAGATAGATAGATAGATAGATAGATAGATAGATAGATAGATAGATAGATAGATAGATAGATAGATTGTTAGTTGATTGAACTGGAAAAAGTGAGTTAATAAAATGAAGAAGATTGATTTAATCAGCAGAAATAAATAATAAGTTATCTGAACTTAATACATTATTTAAGTTGATTTGACAAAAGAAAAAATGTTGTGATAACAAATCTTGAAAATATTTTTTTACAGTGTAGAAATGATCACAGTTGTATTATTTGGACTGGACACAAGAGGTCAGCCACACTCATTTTGTAACTTGTTATTTGGCATTGCATTTTCCTTTGAGACTGAACAAAAAATCTCATGGCGTTCAACAACATGGCTTCTTAAGACAGTCATCGGTTATACAAAAAAAAATATTATATATTATATTATGTATTACAAAAAATATTATAAAAAATGACATTTTGGACCCTAAACACAGTCATGACTTTAACTATACCAATGTAATTTGAATACACGCCAATATTAGTATCCGTGCACGGTAACCTATTTCAAGACAGATAAGTGAGTTTGAACAAATATTCTCTTCAAGCTCTTTGAATGAAGCCACAGTGAAGCACGCGTCAGG